TGTACAGATATGTGGGTTTACTAGTTCTACCTCTACCTGCTCTTAAAATTTTTTAAAAATTTTATTATTTTTATTTTATGTGTATGTGTGTATTGCCTGCATGTAGGTGAGTGCACCCGTGTCATGCAATGTCTGTGGAGGACGGCCACTGAGCCATCTCTCCAGCCCCCTTCCTGCTCTTATAGGAAGAAAGAAACCACAGGTCAAGATTTGAGTACAGAGCCAAAGACAGTCCTCCACCCAGTGCATCGACTAGCCCACTCCCCTGGAGCACCTCTGGGCCCTGTCCTCTCTCTGCTGTCATATCTCCAACCCCAAGGGACACGCTCTTCGTGTGGCCCCAGCCCCAGGAAGGGATCGAAACCAAGTCCTTTATTTTGTATTAGCTCAGGTGGAACAAGACAGCAATAAGAAAGATTAAATATAACCCCAATTTGAAGACTTGCAGGGCAGTAAGACAAAACCAAAGCAAGATCTGAAACCTTTGGTGAGTCGAATCACTCTCAGCTGCTGGCCCTGAGAACACATTTAAATATAATTATGGTGAAATGGGCATGAAATTCTAATGGTTCCCCATTAAAAACATTTTTTTGAGAAAGGGTTTCCCTGTAGCCCCAGCTGGCCTAGGACTTGCTACGTAGACCAGGCTGGCCTCAGTCTCACAGAGACCTACCTATCTCTGCCTCCCCAGTGCTAGGATTAAAGGCGTGTACCACCATGCCCAGCTCGGTTTCCCATTTTGAGCCCCTTTGGTATGTCAGGCTTTAGTCTGGGGCGGGGGTCCTTACTATCTTATCTCCACCCCCAAAGCAACACACCATCAAATACTTGCTAAGAGCTGCAGAGCAGTTAGAAAGTGGCATTCATTGCAACAGTGACAAGGAGGACAGGGGTCTCTACCTTCATGGCCATTAGAGGGGGTTAAAGCCAAACGTGGAAACCTGACTGGAAGGGCAAGGTTTGTGAAACCTGGGACTGTGTGCCACAATCGCTTCGAGAGATGACGGACAGATGGTCCATGATCACACCTTGAGAAACAGCTCTCTCTTAGACCAGTCTCTCTCTCTCTCTCTCTCTCTCTCTCTCTCTCTCTCTCTCTCCTCTCTCCTCTCTCCTCTGTGTGTGTGTGTGTGTGTGTGTGACATGACAGAAGAAAGGAGACTATGAAGGGAAGGGAAAGGTCTAAAGGGAGGGTGTGGGGACAGGAAAGGGTAATGAACTGTGATGTAGGCACCTTTCTGTTGCTGTGATAAAACATCCTGACCAAAACCAACCTGAGGAGGAAAGGGTGTATTTAGCTTATATTCACAGTCCATTATCGAGGGAAACTGAGGCTGGAGCTCAGGGCAAGAACCTGGAGGCACGAACTGAAGCAGAGGAAACTGCTCACTGGCCTGTGCTAAACCAAGATCCACCTGCTCAGGGGTGGCACCACTCACAGTGGGCTGGGCCTTTCCACATCAGTCAGTGACCAAGAAAATGGCTCACAGACATGTGCACAGGTCAAGATAAGAGGAAATTCCCAAACTGAGGTTACCTCTTTCCACGGGTGTCAAGTTGACAGCTAAAGCATCCAGCGCAGAGTACGTCTCACAACAGCTGAAGGGGGCTCTATTTTCTGGGAGAAAGTGACCAGCCAGAGATAGAGAGGGTATGGGGAAAGCAGTGAGGGGCTTTGAATCAAAACAAGTATAATGATATATGTGTATAAAAATGTCACAATGAAACCCATTTGAGGTATCACACACCAAAATTTGTATGAAATCAATCAGTGGTGAGTAAGCTCTCTTTCCAAGGATGACTCAGGGGCTGGTAAAATGTCTCTGGAGACCTTTATTACATTCAAAATGTGAATTGTATAATTAGCCCCATGGGGAAATATTCCATAGTCTTACAACTCAAATTACCTACTTGACTGAATAAGAGTCACTGGAAAAAGTGACACATTGGAGAAGTGTTGGGAGGAAAGCAGCCTCTACGTTCTTTGCTTGGGAGAGGGATGAGGGCTGCACTTTGGAAGCCCACAGGCCACAGCTGCTCACCAGTGACACTGTGGAAGACTCTGTCCCCAAGAGTCTCCTTCCTTGCTCCCTCTCCCTGCACTGTGGTATCCACATGCTGTGCTGGGCTCCGAAGGCAAAGCAGCATAAACACACGCACACACAAAGGCTGGGGAGATGACTTAGCAGGTAAAAGCGCTTGTCATGTAAGCATGAGGACCTAGATCTCAAAACCCATATAAAAAGCCAGATGCTGTAATCCCAGCCCTCCTATGGCAAGATGGGAGGGAGGGACAGGAGAGTCCCCATAAGCTTGGAGACCACCTAGCCTGGGGTACACAGTGAGGAACAAAAGACCCTCAAACAAGGTGGGAGGTGAGGAACTAACAGCCGGGGTTGTCCTCTGACCTGGAAGCATGGCATGGTGTGTGCACATGTACTCACACAAACAAACACACACACACATGCACAAAGGTTAAAAAAAAAAAAAAGAAAATCAATAGCAGAGTTCAGAATTTACCAAAGCCACCTGGATCATATAACTGCTCACTGTGACAAGCATCCACCCACGTGAAATCTGTCCTCTGAATCACACATGGGCAGTCTATGCGGCCCTCAGCATGGACACTGTTTCGGAGTGAGCTGCCTTGTGTGTGGGATTTGCAGTTAGTCCTGTCCATAAGTTGCTCAGATCCAAAGGAAGCTGTGGCATCTAGAATGAACTGGCAAAACTGGCAGGAGCCACAGCCAGCACTGCCCCCGGGCAAAGGGCTCTGGTAGCAGATTTCCTGTACCAGGGAAGTGACACTCACAATGCCAACAGACTCCATCTATGAGGAAACGGCAGGTGTCTACAGCCATTCGCTGCGATGTTTACAGCTAATGGAGATGTGACAGGCACACGGAGTTTGGATTGGGTGAGAAAAATCTAAGAATGCTCTGCATATAACTTCAGCAGGACGAGGGTTAGCCTGCAGTGGTTCACAGACAGGCAAGCGGAATCTCAGGGAGGCCAGAAGGCCAGCAGGTGGGAAAGGATTAGTGGAGCCTACTCTGCTTCTGCTTGTGAATAGGACTTTGGGTTGACCTTCTGACTCGGTTCCCATGGAAACCTGATGAAGATAGAAAGCCACCATGTTACTAAGCAACTTGGCTCCTGGTGAAAATGACCCTTGACTGTTTAACCACATCTGGACTAAGACGACAAAGAAGCTGGTGCCTCCCGGGGGACGCCATTGACGGGCTTCTGAGAGGTAAGATTGCTGCTAACTGGGGTTATACTGCAGGAACCCAGAAGTTATGCATCCCAAGCTGCTTCCAGAGAGTCAGGCTCCTGTGAACTGTGAGGCTCTACCTAGTGACCTGTGCCCCTGCCCTGTTGAGTCGTGAGCTGCGTTTGTTATACCTGGCCAGCTGGCCATGCTGCTGCAAAGCTCGTGCCTGTGGAGAAGCACCTGCCTGGCCTGCTGGCATCTACAATGGCTACCTGCATCCTTGAGTACACTGGTTCCAGTGTGGCCTGAGATGGTGTTTAAAGGTGACTCAAGCAGAGGCCCTGGCCACTGCTGCCTGCATCCAGAGCCACACTTCTAGAAGGTGACAGGGCCAGAATTCAATCTCAGCCATCTGCCTGTAAAGTGCTTCATCTTTCTCTGAAGAATGAAACCTCTTCTCTAGACACTTACACTCTGGCCCCAGAGATGGGTGTGACTTCTTAGCTCATCAGGCCTTTTCCCCTTCTAGGACCCTGTGAGGTCTTCAGGTTTGGTGGCTTCTAATCCAGTCAGCCTGCCTAGCCCGAGCAGACAGTCCAACTATATATGGCGTGCCATTTCTAGACAACCTCTTAGAGAATTCTCTTTAATTAAAAAAGTACTTAATTGCACGCATGTGTGTGTCTGTGTGGGTTTACACACGTGAGTGTAGGTGCCTTCAGAGGCCAGAGGCCTAGAATCCAGTGGTGCTGTAGTTATAGGTGATTGTCAACTGTCAGTCATGGGTGCTTGGAATCAAACTTGGGTCCTCTACAACAGCAGAGCATGGAGAGTTCTTTAAATTCAATGAGGGCGTCATGATCCATACATCCATGTTGGTGTTCTAAGTCCTCGGACAATGCTGGATTCCCAGAGGTGATTCAGAGCTTGTCCACTGAGAGCAGCAACAAGGGTCAGAGCCGCAGGATGGCCAAGGAGACCCACCCCTTCACTGAGATGACCCTGAGCAGGCCTACCATCCAACAAGAGCTTACTGCTACAGTGACTCCAGATGTGCTCTCCTATTAACACCAGGCCAGCAGACTAGGGTGACTCATTCCTTCCTCAGAACCAAGGGAAATTGATCAAGGCAAAAGATCCACCACTTTAGATCCCCTCCCTGCCTTCCTGGATCTTTGTCCTCACAACTCTGTTATAGTAGACGTGAGCCCCCTTCTCCCTCTGAGCTTCTGGGAAGCAGCACTTATATCTTAGTACTTTAGTCACCACAACAGCTGATGCTAGTTCCATCCCAGCCTAAGCAGTGATGAGACATGCCACCAAAGGAGACGTAATGCAAGCTCTGTCATTTCTCCTCTGTGTGACTTGTTCATTGGACCCATTCCACCTGCTGGGCCTGTGGTTTGACATCAGAATCCCAGGACATGGCAGGACACGTGATTTTCCCCAGTACCATCTCCCAGTCACTAATCCGGGGCTGTCACGAACCACGAAATAACACATTTTATAGATACTCTTAATCAATGGCTCCAGTACTACACCCACATGACAGAGTCCCTCCAGCCATACCTGGCTTCTCTTCCACCCCTGGCAGAGAGAAGAAACAGGGCAGGAGGGTGACACGCTGACAAAGAGCAGAGGAGGGACCCACGACAGTCCTCATCAAAGACAAGGGCCAGCAGCAAAGACAGCTGAGGACTCTCCATGCTTCACAGACTGTCAGCATGGAGGATCTCACTGATGGGGGAAACTGAGGCTGCAGAAATATCTTAAGAGGAGAGGACTTGGTCAATGATGTTATGGCATGTATTAGCTGAAAGCTGACTTGATGTAAGCTCTAAAATTACAATAAGACCTTGGAGAAAAAAAAACAAAAAACAAAAAAGAGGAGAGATCTTGCTTTCAAACCCAAGGGGTTTACACCATGGCAAATTCACAGTTTCTACCAAATGGCCTTATTATTTTAGCTTCTTAATACAGTATGCCTTGTTCTAAAACCTGAGAGCATTTCTTTTTATCCAATGGAATAATAAATTGTTGACAGGAGAGTGTGAGTGAGTGAGTGAGTGTGTGTGTGTGTGTGTGTGTGTGTGGCCTTTGGGAAAGGCCAATATATGAACAATTATATAACCCTGGTGTGGTGGCGCACGTCTGTAGTCCCAGCACTTGGGAGGCAGAGGCAGGTGGATCTCTGTGAGTTCAAGGCCAGCCTGGTCTACATAGTGAAAATTTTATTATTTTTTTATTTTATGTGTATGAGTGTATTGCTTTCATGCATGTAAGCACACCCATGTAGCACAGTGCCTGTGGAAATCAGAAGAACGCATCACATCCCCAGGAACTGGAGTTATGGACGGCTGTCAGCCACCATGTGGATTCTCAGAATAGAACCAGGGTCCTCTGCAAGAGCAGCCAGTGCTCTTAACTGCTGAACCATCTCTCCAGCCCCAAGCCTCCACTTTGATGCAGCCAGTCCATCGAAATGGCTGGGTCTGGTGTTGTGTATGTGTGCAGTATTGTATGTATGTGTGCGGGTGGGAAGTGTTCTCTTTCCTTCTGATAAAATACCCTTTCCTGGGGCACTGCCTCTGTTAGAGCTCTGGGGGGCGGGACAGGAAGCTGGGAACTCACTGGCCAGACAGTGAAGCCATGTGGCGCGTGCCAGGTTCAATGATGGATTCTGTCTCAAAAAATGAGATAGAAAGTGATAGAAGACACCTGCTGTTGACCTCTGGCCTGCACACAGATGTGAACACATGTGTGCCCCCCTCAAATATACACACACAACTTTACATACACCCCCAAGCAAAGGAGGCCTGATTTGACTCTGGCTGGTCAGTATCCAGGAGAAACCCATTCATACAACTCGGTGGTTGCCTAAACACTAGTGAGCAGCTGGTAGCCAGGTCACCTGAGCACCACTGCACCTGGGGGATGCTCCAAAACAGAGCCTCCCATGGTCCACTCACAGAGAATGTTCACCTTAATGTCTCATGGTGATGGACTTTGACCTCACATTCCCTCTTTATACATTTTTATGTCAGCTTCTCCCATGTGTTCAAGGGACAGGATGACAAGGCTCACCAGGCTTGCTCAATGCTTGACAGCCTCCCAGCATTCCTCTCATGAGTCCATTCACCTCTACACCCCTGACCAGCCCTCACCCACCTCCACAATCCTGGCCAGCCCAACCCACCTCCACACCCCTGACTAGCCCTCACCCACCTCGCCCACCTCCACACCCCTGACTAGCCCTCACCCACCTCCACACCCCTGACCAGCTCTCACCTACTCTCACACCCTGATCAGCCTTCCAAAGACAAAGCTCCAGGCAGTTGCTTTCCAAGGAAAACCCAGCACGAATCCTGGTGCTGAGGCTGGGTTTCCTGGGTTCAAATGCACCTCCACCTCTCCCTACCCCACGACTGCGGCAAGCATGAAGCTTTCTTTGCTCTAGTCTCATCCTTCAAAAATGACCAGCCCTCACCCACCTCCACACCCGTGACTAGCCCAACCCACCTCCACACCCCTGACCAGCCCTCACCCACCTCCACACCCCTGACCAGCCCAACCCACCTCCACACCCCTGATCAGCCTTCCAAAGACAAAGCTCCAGGCAGTTGCTTTCCAAGGAAAACCCAGCACGAATCCTGGTGCTGAGGCTGGGTTTCCTGGGTTCAAATGCACCTCCACCTCTCCCTACCCCACGACTGCGGCAAGCATGAAGCTTTCTTTGCTCTAGTCTCATCCTTCAAAAAATGGCAATGAATGTGGCAGGGTGTTGGAGGAATTAAAAAATTAGCTTGTCCTTATTGAGGTAAAACTCAAACCTTTGTATGTTTATTTATACACATTATATGTACATTATATTTATATGAATTCACTGTGAAATGTTCTGGAAGGATATACATAGTTTGGTTTACACTGGTGCTTGCTAAGAAACATAAGAGGGCTTTTCTTTAATATACACTTGGACCATTTTGCAAACATGCTACTTCTGTATCTCACACAACTTTGTAAAGAACACACTTGGGCGGAGTGAAATAAAGAGAAAGACGGGAAGTGAATGGCAGGAGAGACAGCAAGAAAGAGTTAAGAGCTTGTGTATAGGCTGGGGACGTAGCTCAATGGTGGAGCCTTGCCTAGCACACCAAGGCTCCGAGTTTGACCCCCAGCACCACGAAAATGAAACAAAACAAAAATACCAGATAGGTTAATCCAAACCACTGGTTTCGCCTGAGGCAGAAACCAGATCACAGAGTCCTGACTGGTCCAGACATCCTGGTCGTGACCGTAGCTCTAGTTTCACAGTTCCCAGTGCCTTGGTGAGGAATCTGCGATATGTATTTGTCAGCCCCATAAAAATTTCCCCTCTATTCTGGAGGGAAAAATCTCAGCATTAGCAAACTCTCAGGGAAATTGAGCTCTGTTGACCCAAGTGTTCTTGGGTTGGGGAATAGATGGGACAGGGCCGGGCTGAGGCCACGGCAGCAGGGAGGCTGCCCCAGCTCCTAAGCCACTTCAGGGTCTGCCTGGGTCTCGAGGGGATGGAGTGACTTGGTCCCGTAAGTTCTAAGACACTCCCAAAACACCATGCAGGGAACGCTTCCAAGGTTACATCCTCCCACCCTCACAGTCCAGAACTCTGCTTGGCAGGCAGGAAGGAGGGGTTTATTGAAGAGTTTTCTGACCTGCCTCAGTTTCTCTAATGTGTAGCACAGGCTTACATGAGCAAAGGATTGTTTTCCTACCTTCTGTTGCAGACTTCCACGGGGCTACCCACCCTTTTTCCTATCCATCCTGGACGGTAAAAATATCATACCCTTTTATGGCAGAAGTTACATCATCACAACCCCAGGAGCAACACTGTCTACTCCTTATATGTAGCCAAATGCTTCACTTTGGCCAACCCACATTCCTGACTTTTTCAAAGGTGAAAACTCCCTTATCCTTAATGTCCTTCACACTATTTCCGATGGATAAAAAAGCTGCTCGGATCACAAAAGCATGCCCCAAGTAACCTGCTGTCCTACTTTGTCTCTTCATTGCTATGACAAAACACTCTGACCAGTCCAAACCTGGGGAGGAAAGGGTTTATTTGTCTTACATATCCCAGGTCGCAGTTCATCAGGGAGCCTAAGGTAGGAACTCAGGGCAGGAAACTGGAGGCAGGAGCTGGAGCACAGGCCATAGAGGAAGGCTGCTTACTGGCTTGCTCCCTTGGCCCCTGCTCAGCTTGCTCTCTTATCCAACACAGGCCCACCTGCCCAGGGGTGGCACCACCCACAGTGGGCTGGGCCCTCCCACAGCACTCAACAATCAAGAAGATGCCCCACAGACATGGCCACAGGCCAATGCAATGGAGGCTATTCCCCAATTGAGGCTCCCTCTACCCAGGTGTGTCAGGTTGGCACGGAAGCCGCCCAGCACAGCTGCATTTCTGTAAAACCTTCTAGAGCACAGCACATGCCCTGTGAAAACTTACCTCAAATTTCAAATGCCATCTTGTTTCCAACCTGTTGCCAAGGGTCTTATGGGCGCCGCCCAAATAAATACAGTTATTCTTGCAAGCTGTGAGTATAACAATGTGTTCCGCACTGTACGGCTGCCACTAATAACATAGTTCTTGCTAAGTACTTACCTGTACCATTGTGACCTCTTCATCGTATTTATAACCTTGATCTTGACCCTAGCCCAACTCACCCACAGGTTTGCTGTAAGGGAAAACTGATGGAGGATCCTCAGGAAGATGACTAACCTTTTTCATGGCAACTTTGTGGTGCTGGTGGCGGTGGAGAGGTGACCGGTTTGGACTTGTCATAGTTGTTAAAGCTCTGGCTACGCCGGTTGTTAGCAGTGGCTGACCCTCCACGTGTTTTGGCCTCACTGCCTGCAGCGGATACCCTTGCAGTAGGGCCTGGAAGTCTAAAATGCAAAACATAACGAATTCAGTCTTAGAAACACAGCAGTGGCTCAGAAGGAACTGCAGCCATGCAGGAGACCAAGACATAAAAAACAAAACTCAGATGCTGGGTCTGTAGAGGTGGCCAAAGGAGCTGGTGAACTACTATAAACACCTCGGCAAATGATGATCCAGCAAAGTATAACGGTAAAATAGGACCAGCATTCATTTGAGCAAAGAGAAACTTTGAAGAGAAGCTAAGACATCTTTATTCTCTGAGACAGGCATTTTTACTTTTCCATATAGTCAAGCCATGACATTTCTGATCCTATACAGCATGGAGCATAAAGATCTAACCCTGAACTGTTTTTAATTTTTATGTGTATGAGTGTTTTGCGTGCATGTATGTACCCATGTGGTACAAAGCCCATAGAGGTCAGAAGAGTGTGTCGGATCCCCTGGAACTGGAGACAGTTGTTGCTGCCATGTGGGTGCTGGGAATGAAACCCAGGTCCTCTGCAAGAGCAATCAGTGCTCTTAACCCTTGAGCCATCTCTCCAGCCCCCTGACCCTGAACTATTTATCCCGTGTGCATGTCTCTTTAGGTGTTAAAAATGGTGTTTGTCATAATCCAGAAATGCAGGCATTAAGAAAATGATTCTGTTTATCATGGTAAGAAAGGGAAGCACTACCATTCAGATCCCAAACAGCTTCAGTGAAAACTTAAGGCCTGGTTGCAAGCACTTGTCTGGACATACACTGCCTTTGACACCTGACCTGTCTCTGCTGCATTCCTTTGAAGTCGAAGCCTCTCTCCAGTCAATTCATGAAATCGTAACTCTTACTATAAAAGCAGCAGGATTCACTTAGCCTAAAGATAAACACACACTTTCACTTTAAATAAAACACTTCATTTTGGGTGGTTCTGAAAGTAAAGTTGCCAGACTTCTTTGTACCGTGTCTAAAGATGTTAGGGAGTATTCCCTAAAGGGGTAAGGGGGAAAGACTGCTCAGATCAGAATTTTGGTCCAGAGACTCACTAAGCAGGCTGTTTCCAATGATTAGAGCTGAAAGATGAATACATGATGACATATTTAGCTCTTTCTTTCAGTTAAAACCCACTGAGCCGTGTTTAAAAGCAACTGGAGCCTCAGCTGACCAGTGTTAGACCCAGTGATAAGTCTGAATTTCCAACTCATAAAGCTTTCAGCCTTCCCTCTCCACACAGTTACACGAGCACCGAAGAGGCTTGGAGTCTGGAAGCATTTTAGATGTGAGCAGCGAACGCTTTAAACTTTGTCTTGTTGGCTGAGCAAGAAAGATGGTTGCAAAGTAAACAGAGAACATGAGCTGGTGTGAGAGGCTGCAAAACTGATCCAGTTAAGACGCTGGCAAAGTCCCCATCTGCTGGCTAAGAGCTGGGTGGGGGGCTGTCTCTCTTCCCCCAGCAACAGGCAGTGAGTCTTGAAGGCATTGCTTCCTGTTAGCTACGAGGACTCATCATCTTCCAGAAGATTCACCCCCACAGAGACAGGCACAGAATCAAATGCAAAAACCCAGCAGCTCCAGTGTCTGGATTGGGGACCCTATGGGTCGACTGACAGATGGATGAGGGCAGCAAGGCTGGGCAAGGAGATCCAGCTACGGGACCTCCGGGTCACTTGGCTCTGCTTCCAATGCAGTGTCCTGCAAAGCCTTCACATCAGCTGATCTGAGCCTCACACTCAGCCTCAGAACTTTCTCTAGGTGCACACAGGGGTTCTTGGGCTAGACGAGCTTAAGCAGCCACGGTCTGTGGGAATCTTTATTACCACATATAGGTCTGGAGGAGGATTATGGATCTGTTCCAAGATAATGTCACAGCAGAGGTATTAAGGGATTCAGGCTCTGATGGGGGGATTGTGACGACAGGGAACAGTGGAAAGGAGGAAAGGTGTGATCCTTTCAGACTTCCCGGAGGGACTGCAGACGTTTAGGACACCACAGAGACAAGCCATCCAAGCACAGGGTGGGCCGCTACAATCCGAGCCGGTCTGAGCTTCTAGGAGACGCTGTGATGCAATGGACAGAACGCAGGCTTTTCTACCCGCGTGACTCTGGGGTAGTCTCATGACATCTGACATTCATATTCCTTACTGCCAATTCTGGAATAATAACTACCCAAAGAACGGCAGGACATTTGAAATGGGACTCAATACAGAGCCTCCTGTAAGTACTCAGTGCTTGTGAGTCCCCCTCCCACCCTCTCTGCTGAGCAGATTCAAAGGAACTGGACAGTGTCACAAAGGAAATGGGCTATGGGGCAAGAAACAGAGAGAGGGAAGGAAGCAAACGGGCTTAAACCCTGGGAAAGCCGAAAACTGGTATCTGAGACCAGGCATGACAGGCTTTGTCAAGCAGGTTCTTCATCGAGCTGAAGAATTGAAGAAGAGAAACTACTTTGTCTGTGACTGAGACCTTACTCTAGGGGACCCTCTGAATATACATCTCCCGGTAGTGAGATATTTCTGGTCTGGATTCCCTAGTGGCCATAGTCAGGGACCTCAGTACTCCTCTGACAGGAGCGGTATGGGGTGCTGCCATGCCTTCTGGGACAGACGGGCAATGGAGAATGACTGGCAGACAGCCATCAAAGGCCAGTTCCAAGCTCAAGCCAGCTCATGGCACCCACCCACTTCGACACCTTACCTGAGTCAGGAGAGCTTCCTCAACTTGTCTAGCTAAGAACACTGAGCAGCGCCACGTCATTTCTGTCAAGTTTCAGAGTTCACTGATACAGACACTGGAGTGTAAACTGAGGTTCTGCTGTGCACCGACCTGTCCTGACTCCTGCCTACTCTGAAGTTGTCTCCTTCATCCATCTGAAGATTTTAGCAAGATCTACCTCATGTACAAAGACCATGAATGAATGGATGGGAGAGAAATAAGATTCAACCACAAAGAAACAAAGGCATCCCATGGGATAGTGTGAAATGCTGACTTTCAAAGTTGGTGGGCTGCTAATGGAGGGCCTAAGAAGAGACCGCAGAGCAAGAACGACCTTTGGCGTGTGGAGGGGACTGTGAGTTTGGGATGAGACAGCAGAGTGTGCCGCACGCAGGGAAAAGCCTACAGAAAGTACAGAGGTAAAGCTAGGCGTGGTGGCTCGTGCCTGTAATTCCAGACACTCAGGAGGCTAAGGCAGGAAGATTTTCAAGTTCAAGGACTTTCTGGGCAACTCAGTGAGGAGACCCTGTCTCAAAATAAAGTTCAAGAAAAAGAAGTGTGAAAATCCAGTTTATTGGTACAGCACCTGCCCCACATACAGGAGGTCCAAGGCTCAATCCCCAGTACTACAAACCATCACCAAGTGTGGAGGTGAGTCAGACAGGGTGGTTCACACCAAGAAATGCCAGCATGCGGGAGGCTGATTCAGAGCTCTGGGCTACAGAGCAAGACTCAATCTCAAAGAACTAAAAAAACTAAAAAAGGACAGAGGAAAGCATTGGTGTGCACTGGCACTTGACGGACACAGTGAGAAGGAACTAGCCAGGAGAAGTAGGCAAAGCCAGGGGAAGGATGACCTTGTGGTCATACTAGGAATCCTGGAGTCAGTCCTACAGGGATGACGAATCAATTAAGGAGGCTGGGGACAGAATTGGAGCTAAAAATAGAGGAGCTAAAAATAGTTTACCAGTAAGAAACCCATGGCTTCACGCAGGCCTTCAGCCTTTGACTAAACATTCTGAAGCTCATTGCTGTTAACATCCTTGTGTATCATGAGAACTTGGATCAACCCCAGCCCAGAAGCATGTACTGTCAGTTACATCAGAATGATGACTTTCTGAGGAGCTGGGTCTGATCCACAGGAAGAATTGCAGGTTGCACAGAAGATACTGCTTGCTGTAACATCCTTCCTGAAGCAGGGCAGTGAGAGGGAGGCCAGAGAGGTCTGCCCTGTGCCATTTACAGCACCAGGAAGTCCCTACAGCTCTACCATGGGAACTGGATCTCTCATGATCATTGTATGGCAGTTTCAAATTGACACAATGCACAGATATTTTTTTCAAAACATACACGGTGCTTTTATAAAAATATAAATGTAAGGTAGAGGGAAAAAATCTTGCTGCTATGAGAGCCCTGGTCAATTTCTCCAAAGTGTACAGAACCAAGCTGAGCAGGCGGGGAGGGATTAAATTCATTCCTGGCACATAACCTTACCACCAAACCCCTGCGCCTCCACTCCACGCGCTGTACGTGCTGATGGGAAGAAAGCAGTTCTTCTCTCCCAAACCACTTCAAAAGCTGGGAGCAGAGGGGCGCCCCTCCCAGGAAGCGTGGCAGCTTGAGTGCACATGCTGGGGATTGGCGGGGGGGGGGGGGCAGAATCAGAGATGCTTTTCTGCCAGACAAGATGATTAAATGCAAAATCTCTCATCCCCATGGCATCTGCTCTTCAGCAGCAAGGCAGAGGACTGACCACTAACTCCACTGACAGTGATGCAGGGGTGGGCTCTGAGACTCTCTGGAGGCAGGCTGGCTGCCTTGCCTGGCTTAGATCAACCCCGAAGGCCAACATCACCGTGTAACTTACAGTACACCAATGATATGCCAGGTATTTCAGCACTGGAACGGCTTTCGCAAAATCCTCAGCACACAGTGCACAGAGGGTGGAGAAAGACGCCTGGGCTCACAGACATGAAATCATCTTCCCAGGGAATGGTAAGTAGTGATTGTACCTTTGAGTCACCAAGCTTTTCTGTTCCCTGTGAGCAGAACAAGCCTAAATACGTGCGGCTCCACCAGATGCTGGGGATAACACCACTGTCAAAGGCAGAAATCTACAGGGTGCACATTCAATGGTGAAGCTCCTTACTCTGCTCAGCATCCTTGGTACCCATCAAAGGGCTTAGCCCTGGAAAGTGTCCAATCAGCATTTACACTCCAAAAAGGGGTTGCCTCCAGAGCTCTGGGGAAGGTGGTCTACTCAGCCAGAAGGGCCGGGCTGTCTCAGTGGTGCTTAAATCCACCTAAATTCTTATCAGGATCATACACAAGGCTAAATGTTGAGAAGGGGGTGGGGCACATGTTCAGGCTGTGAGGCAAAGAAGGAAAGAGCATCTCTTCGTTGGCCTCAGCAGAAGCAACATGCACCCCAAAAACACTTGGTGAGGGGTGAGGCTCTAAAGGAAGCCAGACCTTGGCTGAGGGGAAAGCCGGAAGCTATGTTCCTGGCACAGCTTGGTCGGGGTGGGGTAACCACACCCTCGTCCTCAGTCCTTCCTCACCCCCTGCCTCCCTTCAGCATCTGTGCCCGATAACAAACCATGCATGGGGCAGGAATGTGCTTCCAATTAGACAGTTTCTCAGCCAGCTCCTGTTCTCTTTATCTCCCGGGACTGAGCCCAGGGCTTTGTGGGAACAGACACCGGGTCTCAAGTTCCTGCTCCTCCCTTTCCTTTCACAAGTATCTACATTTGCAGGACACTCCGCTCGGTGGGAACAGCCTGCTAGAACTGGGGAGTCAGCTCCCACTGGAGCCTCCTCCTCTTCATCAGGGAAAACAGTTACTTCTCAGACACGGTTTCTAGAAAACAGTGACAAACTGAGGTTCCTTCCGGTCCCCCAGAACCAAGTGTGGGTAATGCGCTGATGTTGTACAGCACGGTGGCCTCAGGCTTCCCTTTCACCAGCCACGCTGGCTCTGGGTTGAATCTTGCCCCACGCAAAGTTTTTAGAAAATTTGAAAAGCAAACCGTGATTAGAAAAGGCACTTAGAGCCTCACAGAGGAGGCAGCCAGCAGCTTGTCATATGGATCTGTACATGAATGAAATGAAGGGCAGGTTTCCCTCTACCTTTAAGTGACAGTTCAGTAGGAAAGAAATACAGCACTAGTCATAATGAGCACAGATCCCTGACCCCTAGCAGCAACTTCTCTCAGAGGATAGGGGCGATGTGAAGGACAAGCCTGAGACCAATGGCTGAAAGAGAAAGGCTTTGAAAAGCAACTTCAAGAACCAGAGCAATACCAGAATGCACTGGAGGGCTGGGTGAAGTGGCAGAGAGATAAACTAGGGGTTCTGGGGCAAAGTCACCTGGGTTCTAATCTTGATGGTTTCATCTGTGTAGCCTGGCGGCAAATGACCAAGCTTCCTAATTTTCGTTTCCATATCTATAAATTGGAGTCCCTAACATGACCTACCTCATGGAGACTGTTAGGGTTAAATAAGACAGTACGCTCCAACTAGTGCATCAAATAATAGAACATACAGTCTACATCACACACGCATCATAAGGCTCTGGACAGGGTGCAGTAGACTGCCTTTCATTCTCGGGAAACCGAGGCAGCTCCTCCATGGTGTGTAAGAGAAGCAGGAAGGAAGATAAGACATGACAGACACACTGGTGTTCAAGTCACACTGCAGATCTTACTTAACTCAAGAGGAGCCAGTCCCCATCAGTAACCAAACAACAGTAACAGTCAAAGCACAGCACAGAGAGAGGTGCGGATTAGGCAGGATGAAGCGGGAACAAAGGCATTCGTTGTAAAGCTACCCAGAAACTCACCTGTTCCTAAAGCTGAATGGACTTTAGTGACAAGGCAGTCAAAACCAAAACTCAGTACGACGGGAAACACCCAGTTGGCACCAAAGTCACTGCCATGCATCTCACACACACAAGCACACTCCCACCCACAGACACTTCCGGAAGTCCCCACGCTGGATCATTAGCCAAAGCATGTTTGGGTTTCGACAACGGCAAACGTGAAGCAGGGAGGGAAGTCAAAGGAAAGCCAACCAGAGCGGAGGAAACAGAAGCCACGGGCTGGGTTTAAACCATGCTTTGCAGGGCGCAGGGGACAGCTAACCTAGAGAGCTTTTTCTGACCCAGAGTGAAGCGGATGATTTTGCTTTGAGATGAGTCCTTGGATGATGAGCTGCAGGACAGGAAAGAAAAGATGGAGCAGGTGAGTGAGGGAGAGGACACGTTAGACACACAAAAAGGAGGTACTCTCGGCCCACTCCTTCCACTGGACACAGACCTCTTTCGAGGTCTAACTTTACTGCTTCAACACATTTAGAATATATTATAATTAAGATTATTTAACAGCTGAGTTTCAGGCTTGTAATCTCAGCTACTCAGAAGAGCGAAGGAGCAGGGTGCTTAAGGTCAAGGTCTAACCCCTAGTATCGGGAAAAATAATAATCCTGGCAGGCTTTCAGACCCTAAGTCTACACACAGGGAGAATCTTGGGTGGATTTAATAAAAGAACATTTAAAGCTATTTGTGCTATTTTTTTCATATGCCTTTTTTTTTTTTTGTCTTTCTGAGACAGGGTTTCCCTGTAGGCCCAGCTGTCCTGGAACTCACTATGTAGACCAGGCTGGCCTTGAACTCACAGAGACCCGCCTGCTATGCTTCTTTAAGTATAGGTTAGGTTAGGTTGGGGATGCAACCCAGAACCTCACACATGCTAGGCAAGGACTCCACCACTGTTATACCCTGGCCAGAAATATCTGTCTTTCCTGCATCCATTTTTCTTGTACTATATTCATAAGGACCCAAGGCAAGAAATACAATGTTGGTTTCAGTATTTTCGAGAAGTAAAAGGTGAAATGAGAATGAGGAGAAAAATTAAGCAATTTTTGTATCCTAAATAATGGAATACTAATTGTATCTAAAGTAGATTGGGATGGAAAGTAACACAGGTCCCTCTCCCAGACTCAGGGCTGTGAGGACTACGGGGTAGTGAAGTGTGGACCACGCTCCTAGTCACCACGCATACTGTGAAACAGAGAGCAAGCCTTGGGGAGGCTGCTCTGACATCCGTATGCCAGGGTCACACATGACCCTGAGTGGACTCGGTAAGGTTCACAGGAAGCTTGCCAAACTTTGGTGTTTGCCATCCTGAGAAGCACTGATCTAGGTGGCTTCATACTGGCGCGTGTTTTACATCTGGTTGAATCTTCTAACAAAGGACCAGAGCAAACTTGGGGCTTATACTGACACAAACAATCAAAGGTCCAAACGCTTACCCTTAGGGCTTTGGCTATTAGAGACAGAACATGGGGCTAGAAACACAAAGGAAATAAATATCATCTTAACATCCATAAATTAAATTCACAGCCAGAGTGTTAGCATGGGGCAGCCTATCTCTAGACCTTGACAGCAAGATGCTTTTGAAAATAAAACTAGAAAACATCAGTATATAACAGATGAGACCACCCATCTGCAGACATCAACCTGGTGAGATTAAAAGGCAAATGAAGGCAAATATCTCAGGTCCTCATCCATGCTACCACTCTGTAGGGTTAGAAAGCCATGATCGGGAACCTTTTGCAGCTGGAGTCAACGAATGTAAAAACAGCCTGAGTGTGGCGGTTCTTGGGAGTAGTGTTCATTAACAGTAGGATGTTTTCCTTATCAGAAGATGAGGGCTGACTGCAACATCCGGTTCTTCAGAAACCCCCTGCCTGTCATGGCAACGGATGCCTTGGAGCAGCAAAGCTCAGTGACAGATTCTGAGCACATGGTCCTCAGGGCCCTGTGTGGGGAGATGCTTCATAGGATGAGAAGATGCTGTGGTCCCCTTGCAGAGCACTCCTTCCTGCCTCTCTTTCCCTGGGTTTACGGTGCACACCTAATTCCTCTCCAGACCACCATTCACCCAAAGAAGCAAGTTGAAAGTCTAGGTTTTATTTGGGCTTCCGTTCCCCTCATTCTAGGCAGTGAACTTCAGGCCTCCTGGGAAATTAAAGTCCCAAAATATGCTTTAGGGTCCATCTCTATCTGCTCTAGACCACCTTGATACAAGTCACTGTCACTGCTTAGACTGCGAAGCCTTCCTGATCGGGGCCCCTCCTTTCTCTCCTGCTCCTCCAAAAGCTCATTTACCACAGAAGCAAAGAGTAATTTAAATCTAATTAAATCTTCTACTCAAAAGCCTCCCGTAGCTTCCTAGAGCCTTAGAACAGGGTCTGAATGCTGCGCCCACTTCACTGGGCACTCTTCAGCCTGGTGCCAGGCTGTGCAACTGTCTGCCATGGGGAGGCAGGCGCTCCCTTTGCTTGTAGACGTTTTGCTCCCCCTTCCCCTCACTCTGCTATGCCAAGCTTGCTCCTACCACAGGGCCTCTGCACCAGCTACTCTCTTCCCAAATGTCCACAGCTGAGGTTTGCATGGTTAGTTTCTTTTCATTCACCATCTTGCCTTTAGAGAGACCGGTCTTGTCAACCAGACCTAAACTATCAATGCCGAGTCCCGTCATCTGTACGAACTCACAGTGTCGTCCACCCATCTTCCCTGTTCGTTTGCTGTGGCTCAGCCCTCCTCTGTTAGCATGCAGAGAGCAGGCCCCTTGGCTAGCACGCATCTGTGACTCCCAAATGACTAACAGTACCTGGCACACAGAAGTCTTCACGCTAACTAAATAAAAGAATGCTTACTTGGCAGTTTCAAAGTTATGAGAAGACGTGCAGTATCAGTCATAACAACTTAATCGTGAAGATCTCACTCTCCCTCACAGAACCTTTTCCTGCACTATAACCTTAGTAAGCATCCTAGTTAGTCCTTCACAGAAGGCAGTTTGCAAAGTGATATATTCACCATTCAAAGGGCCACGAGGGAGCCTCCAGCCAGGGGGCAGTTCCCAGGTGGGCAGCTCTCTAGGGAAAGGGCTCAGTACTTAGGCTGCATGGCTGTCTCTCTTCACTGCTAGTCCGTGGGCCTCTCCTCTCTCAGGAATTTCCATAATGCAAGTTGGATATAATCAGATAGTTAATTAGGGGGCCTGATTTACATGAGACCCACCAATGCTGACTGAAACGCCGTTCCAGTTGGGAAGCGCACTTCTCACAGGGAAAACAGCTGTGACTATGAGGAAGCGGGGGTTAAGCAGTTTTGGGCTTGGCTCAGAGCTACAGGAGACAAGGGTCCAAAGGCTGTTGAGAACCTTTAGGATCATCCATACCGATGCTTTGGGGTATAGGGAAAAAAGGCATCGTTTTCCAGCACATATTATATCAAATCAAGCAACCAACGATCTGTGACTCTGGGCTTTATAGGTAAAGATTGATGGCTTAAAAGAAAACAATGAAAACGAGCATTTCTGAGGAACTTCAGCCCGAGTCAAAAGCTTTCTAGCTCCTACTCTGTCCTCCCCTTTTTCCGCCGTTAAATGACTTGCAGGTGATCTTTCACAGAGCCGCTTAGGCATTTGATTCCAGTTTCTGTTGAAGCACGGAAGATTGTAACCACTCTGCATTCGGTCTGCTTCATTATGGCCAGAGAGAGTGGCAGGCATCGGTCCCTCTGGAAATGCCAGCAAAGCGTAGGCCTCTCTCCTGCAGAGCAGGGGTTACTCCTGTGCTGCGTGGCTCTCCTCCACTAAGCTCAAAGCAACATGGCTCCCACTGTGTAAGTAAGTCCAACAGAACCAGGCACATTGTGGCCACTGCTCCCGAGGGATGCTGCTTCCCTTAGGAGGGTGGCTGGCTCTCTCCTATTGACACTTGCTAACCTTTCGGAGATGCTCTTTCCACTTTTCTCTCATCTGACAAAGGAGAGTCATGTATTAGCATAGAACTTTTGCATCCATTGAGCAAAATGATCCTCGAGTCTAACTTCTGGCTTTAGGCCAACACATAAAGGAGTTTGAAGTATATATTTGCAACAGTTTATGCCACATGAGTGACCACATGTGTTACAGGCCAGGCGCAGCCAGGGCAGGTAATTACTGTTGGCTGTTACTCAGTCTCTGATCTATAAGAACACGTCTCTGCTAGGCACAGAGGGCACCTGGTTGCATCGACCTCAAGGGCATGTTAGTTCCTAACTACCAGACGCTCCCAGTGCTGAGGATCATGGCCACACACTCACAGGCCACGCAGGCCTCGGGAAGATCACTGCCGGGGAGGAGCCCACCTGGACTGCATTTCGGCTTGTGCTTTTGCTGGCTGATGTGGCGCTGGCTGGAGGGGCTGGCACGGGGCTTGCGGCGTGGCCGGCACCTGGTGCTGAGGGATGCCAGCCTGGCACTGAGAAGGTGCCCCGGCCACCTGAGACCCCGCAGGTGGCAGAGGGGACAATGGGAGGTGCTGCTTCTGAGGCGGCTGCTGCTGCTGCTGCTGCTGCTTGTAGCGCGAGAGGCTGAAGAAGAGGCCTAGGATGGCCTTGAGGTTTCCATTCCTGATCTCTGCAAGACAAGAAGACATTCCCATCACCAGAAGCACAGGTCTGAAAAGAGCAAACCTTGCCAAGTAGAGGGGATGGTTAAAACCTCAGTGAAATCTAAGTGCTTTCAGGAAAGTCTAATTTTTGCTGCAACATGTCCTTCCTGTCTAAACTGGAAATGACTTAGTATATTCAATTTGCTTATTGGTTGTATTCATATGTATATAAGTTTTTTTATATTTACTATTTTTATTTTATGTGTAGGAGTGTCATGCCTGCATGTGTGTAAGTGCACCTGTGTTGTGCAATGCCCACAGAGGATAGAAGAAGGTGTCAGATCCCTTGGAACTGGAGCTACAGACAGTTGTTAGCCACTATGTGGGTGCTGGGAAGCAAACCTGGGTCCCCTGGAAAAACAGCAGGTGTTCTTAAATTTCGAGTCATCTCTCCAGCCCCATAACTTAAGTTTTTAAATTTTTTTTAGGTGTTGGAGAGATGGCTTAGTGGTTAAGAGCTCTCATCGTTTTTTGTTTGTTTTTTTCAATATTTCATTGGGGCTGGAGAGATGGCTCAGTGGTTAAGAACGCTGACTCTTCTAGCAGAAGACCTGAGTTTGAATCCCAGCACCCACACGGCAGCTAACAACTATCCGTAACTCCAGTTCCAGGGGATCCGACAGCCTCTTCTGTCCTCTGTGGGCATTGTACAACTTACCTACATGCAGGTAATATATACATACACATAAAATAAAAAATAAAATATTTTATTTTATGCATATGAGTGTATTGCCTACATGTATGTAAATGCACCCATGTCATGCAATGCCCATGGAAGTCAGAAAAGGGCATCAAATTCCCCTGAAACTGGAGTTATGGGTGGTTATTAGCCACCATGTGGGTACTGAGAATTGAACCTGGTTCTCTGCAAGAGCAGCCAGTGCTCTTAAGTGCTGAGCCACCTCTCCAGCCCCTAAAACTTAAGTTTTATATGACTACTTCCCCAAATGCCCACTTGTTTAATAAGTGTTGTGGTTTTGAGAACAAATCTGGAAAAAAGCCTGCAAGAACCATTGAGCAGACAGCGAACGTGTCACACAGTGAAGATTCCCAATGGCTGAGAACGTGTCACACAGTGACAATTCCTAGCAGCCGACCTCCCCTCATTCAGTGAGGCTTCTTCAGTCCCCCCGGAGTCTAGCTCCTTTTGAGTCCTACTGACTTCCTGAATACTTAATTGGTATCACAGTCCATGAAGATCACTCCTAACCCACATAGAATTAGTTTTTTCTCCCTACTGGGATTAGAGTGGGTACATCAGGCCCGTGGAGACTGGATGGCTGGCAAGGGCTGGGGGAAACTCCCAGTACGGACGCTGCTGGAAGAGCACCCACAAGACTGTGCTTGTTCTTTGGGCAGAGCTGTCAATCCCGGACTGCCATCTGGCACTAGGGGAGACACATTGGCTTTGCTTACCCTGCCAAGTCCGCATTCTGAGCCCCAAGCCACACAGAGCATGCCAAGTGGCCAACTCGCGCTCCAATTCTTTCTCTGCTCTACCCAGCCATCCGCCTTTCAAACTCTGATTCAGGTTGGGTGTGGGAGAACGGCTGTAAGGATTGCCTTCTATAAAGACTCACACAAAATAGTTCTTACATTAAAATAAATTAGAACAGAGTGGGAAGAAATTATTTTTAATTCCAGACAGTACTTTTCAGATACTAAAATGTATTTGCCTCAAGGCACGCATAAAGAGCTATGACAAAGAATAAAAATATTTATTCCCAGAGGTTGAGCATCCCTTTTACTCAGGACTTTAACACTGACCCTGAGGGGGGCACAACAGGGCCACTCAGCAGGAGGAACAGTGGAGAACCCCCTCTACCCTGTAACAGCCAGTGAAGGTAATAGCAGAATGCAGGTCAAGGGAGCTTTAGGGACCTTGCCAGAGGGGTGGGGCCAGCAGCCCTGCCCACGTGGGGGAGCACGCACCTCTGCTGAGGCTGCCCAGGGAGGCACAAGGACTTCCTTCAAGGTGCATTGAGGGGCAGAATGTGTAAGGGAAAGGCAGGGCTACGGCTCTATCACCTCTTCCCTCCTCAGACCAGAAAGAAGCACTTCCTGCCGCAGCATCCCTTTCTCCAGGCTGTGCAGGGACTGACAACATGCACTTCTGCAATCCTGTCCTCCAGCCATATTTATGAAGCCAGCAGGTTCTTTGAGGGCTGACAGGAGCAGCATGGTGTTTGCAAAGCCTAAGCCTGGGACTATCTCCGCCCTACCACTCTCCAGCTGTGCAGGTCTCTTTCTCTAGGCCTCAGGAAAAGGGCAACATGGCCACCGCCTGCCCATTACACGAGGCCTCATGGTCTCATGGTCTCATGGTTCTCATGGTTCTCATGGTTCTCATGGTTTAACCCGTGCACGGTGTATGGACAGTGATGCCCTCCTCCAGTACTGTGGGTTATTGCTGAAGACCACAACCCTGAAACCCAAATAAGACTCCCATTCAGTTCCAGCCTCATGCCTTACAAGTGATGCCACTTATGGGGTGACCTCTTCAAAGTTATAGTTTTAAAATTATTATTTTTAAAATATATATATTTAAATTCTATGCATATGCATGTATTGTCTGCATGTGTGTACATGCACCCATGTCATGCAGTGCCTGTAGAGGTCAGAAGAGGGTGTCAGATTCTTTGGAACCAGAGTTACGGATAGTTGTTGCCTGCCATGTGGGTGTTGGGAATCGAACCCAGGTCCTCTGCAAGAGTAGCCAGTGCTCTTAACCACTAAGCCATCTCTCCAGCTCCCGAACTATGATTTTTTTTTTTAAGTGCCTTTCATTTTTTTATGTGCACAGGTAGCAGTCAGAAGACAATTTGTGGGAAATTATCTCCTTCATTATGTGGGCCCTGAGGGTGAAACTGGTCTCCTCAGGCTTGGCGTGAGCACCTTTAATCTATTTCAGTGTCTTTTCCAGTTATCAGGATGGTGTGTGGTTTATAAGTGCTGTGGCTGACTAGTGTGCATCCTCTAAGCTGGTCACAAGCATGAGCTCCTTTATCCTGACCCCCTTAGCAGGGAGCATCGTCACCCCTCTGTCACTTAAGGGGAAAGCAATGCTCTGAAAGCTGTAAGACTTCTACAAGGAAACAAGCTTGGAGCTAGGGCATGAATCCAGGTTTTTCTAGCTCAAAGTCTGGTTTTCTAACACTGTGTGATTTGCTTATTTGCCCATCATGTGTAGTGAATTTTAAAGCAGACCAGATAATGTTTTATTTATTAAGCTAGCTGGTGGGTATGTGAGTACTCTTTATTCTCCTGGTGTCTCAAACATTCCTTGACACTTTTTTTTTAAACCACGCAAGGAAAACTAAGAGGGAAGGACTCAACAAATCAGCCTATCCAAGGACTCAGGGGATGCCCACTGCAGTAGTGGACACGTCCACATCAGCACCCAGAGCCTGCCAGTGCAGTTCTTGGCACTGGGCTTGTCCGTTCCCCGTCTACTGTGACCATCAAGCCATTTGCTGTTCATTATGGTTTCTCTCTTCCCTAATGCACTTGTAACTCTCAGAGATCACAGTGCTTCCAACAAATACGCATTTTCTTGGCATTTTTATTATAAAGATCATGGATTCTTGAGCTAGGAAACCCTCTGTAGTCCGTTATTTACAGGTTTTGTGTTGTTGCAAGAGTCAAAGTCTTTGACCCTCCACTTCCTTCTCCTGCACCTTCCCACAGGGCTGTTAGAACAGTGAGGGGATGAGAAACTGGGCGTCCAGCACCTAGGGCACTGCCTCACTCTGTCCACGGCCCTGTACCTGTGGCTGCCTTAGCTCTCTCTGGGGTTCTCTGTGGGAAAGCTGAGAAAGGGTCTGCTTACCTAGCTTTCTCCCAAGGGCCCCAGGCACTAGGATCCGGAGGGAGAACCTCATAGCAGAGGAAACTCAGGGGCTACCTTTCTGATTTTTAAAATAGATTACCGAGGTTTCACATGCTTTGCATACATTAGGTATATAACTTGATTTCTTAAAGTAAATTTTATTCTTAGAAAATTTCTATCACTGCCAAAAGTTCTCATGCTCAGGTGCAATCAGTCCCCAAACCCCACACTCCCAGGTGCTCATGAAGCTGCTGTTTCTACAGACGTGCCTTTCGGGGGACATTTCACATAAATGGGATCATGCAATTTGTACTATTTTGCATATAGTTCCTTTCATTTAACATAATTTTTTAAAAACTTTCTTTTGAAAAGACTGGGAATTGAATCCAGCGCCTCAAACATGCCAGGCAAGCACTCTGCCACGGAGCTACATCCCTAAAATAAAGCCTTCGGTTCAACCAGGTTAGAACATGTGTCAGCTCTTACGTTGCTGAGTAAAAGCTCACTACTTGGGCATACCAGAATTTGCTAACCTACTCCCAGTTCATGGACTGCCCAATTCTGCTTTCACATCACAAAGCACTGAGGAGTGACGAGAGCTCTGAATACCACATAGCATATTCCATGGGTGGTCTGTAACAGACAGTACTCCAAGTAGCTAACACTGCATTCTTCCCACATCTCCAAATGGTATTTGTGTGGTGAACCAGCTCCAGGGAAAGCCTAAAAACGAAGCCCTTAAGCCCACAAGAATGTTGACATTTCCTAAGGTTTTGAAAAGGAGTCTCATTCTGCATGTGACAACCAAGCTAACCTTGACTTCTAACCAAGGTAGAAGTTCTCTAGAGAGAACTGCCTGGGAGTCTGGCTGGCTGAACACTGGAACTCTGCTTCCTCTCTGTGGCCACTCATGCAAACGGAAGGACAAATGGTAAAGGCCACAGGCCAGTTCCCCTAGCGTGCCTGGATGCACAGTCTTTGGTTTCTGTCTGCTCTCTTTCCCCTGCTGGCTTGTTCTAATCTGCACAGATTCACAGTTGTACATAATGTCGGGTATGATGACTAAGTTTATTTTGTTTTTTGAGCCGGAGTCTCATGCAGCCCAGTCTGGCCTTGACCTGATTATGTGGCCAAGGA